ACCATAGTAGGGTGAAGCTGGATTCCTGTGCTTGTGAGTGTGTTCCTGACCCCGGGCACCGTGTGAGCTGACCATCCAGGGGAATCAAGCCGCAGCCCCATAGCGTCCAAAGGAACCAGACTTCTACAGCCCTGCTTTGTACACTTGGAAGCTGATCAAGCCACACATGGTGGAAGTCCCAGGAATCGAAGAATTGTTCACCTGAAGGACCAATGAACTCTTTAAATTTTCTAACGTGCCTGTAGTGCATGGTTGCCCCTGGCCTCCCTCTGTTGCTGTGCGTTTAACCCTAGCACTTGCTGTGGGGTTGGGGTTGGCTGTTCCTGCTGATAAGACTTATGGCTAGTGGCTCCTTCTGGGTACAATGTATAACTTTTGTTATCTATTTATTTTCATTTGGTTCCCTTTTGTAGTCCCCAAACCCCTCACTTGTGATCTCTGTATTCGCACCAATCAACTTGACCGTGGTGTAGTTAAAACCTTAATTTACTACACCCATTTCTCCTGCCTGGGCAAGGTTATTGACACTTGTGAGTATAACAAAACGACCTATTCTATATGTAGACTTGGTAATCAACACTTCTGTTTTGACCCTCAATTTCCCCCCACTGAGGACTGGCTAGAGGTAAGAAGTTACCGTAGTGAAGGCAGCCTCATTACCAAAACCCTACTTACCAACCCCCAACGACCTGCATCCCTAATCTTTGATGCATGTGCAACTATTGCCAAAAATCCAGCCTATCACGTTAGCTGCAGAAGCTTATCATGGGAGTGGGAATATATGTTAAATGATAAATATATGTGTCAAGAAGATAATCCCAGAAGCCCAGAGTGCTCTTCCCTGGACTACTATTTCTGTCCCTATTGGTGCTGTGTGTCTTGGGCCACTTGGAAGGATAAAGGCAGAACCGCACTCCTCCAAAGGGGCGTGACAACCTCAGACTGCCAAGTAGGCACCTGCAATCCTGTCAATTTCACTATCTTCACACCTACCGAGGGTAAATGGCAAAGGGGATATCGAGTGGGTTTGCTCATTTATGGGAGGGGCATTGACCCTGGGACTGTACTCTACATCAAAAGGGTCACCATAACCCATAAGTCCTTGCCACACCAGATTTTCCATTCCTTTAATGATGAGATTGAGAGTGAGAGCCCTGTTTCCAATACTAACACAAGTCCGTCTTGAACTTTTGTTGACATTGCAGCATACTCGTTTTCTTAAAAAAGTCTTCATGAACATTTTTGATTGATTATTGTTTGATGTGCCTGAGTGTTCGGTTGCATGTATATGAGTGCAACATGTTGTTCAATTCCTCTGGAGGCCACACAAGGACATCTGATTCCCCTGGAACTGGAGTTAAAAATAGTTGTTAGCCACCATGTGGGTGTTGGGAACTGAATCAGATCCTCTGCAAAAGCAGCCAGTGCTCTTAGCTTCAGAGCCGTCTCTCCAGCCCCTATAGCATACTCTTTAAAGAGCTACTCTTGTTTTGTATGCAGGGGAACTAATGTTGGGGCTCAATGGTCTGGGGAGGTTAGGGAAGTAGACCTCCAGGGGCCCTTTGACCAGTCAAGATACCCCTGTCCCACTGCCAGGGTCTGGCTTCTTAAGACCTCAATCATTGGGAAGAACTGCATTGCCCAATGGAGATGACCATTTAATATTTCTGTAGGAAACCTTACATGTCTGGGCCAAAGATTTTATAATGCAACTACTCAGACACCCAATGGTGGGGATCCTTAGAGCATTCTGAACCAACCCGTTTAACTTCTCTTATCTGCAATAGGCATGGAACAATGTCCATATAGACGTCAAATGTGGGGCCCCAGGAGGGTTATACTGGGTGTGCAGGAGGACTGCTAAGACTGTGCTTCCCCCTAACTGTTCAGGATCATGTGAGTTGGGGGCTATTTTGCCATCCTTTGTGTTTCCATTAGCTAGAGATCAACATTTGGGAATTGTCTATGAGGACTGATGGACCCAGAGAAAATGGTGAGCCTTAAAATAGATGATTGGAAAGATAAGAATGGCCCCAAGAACGGATAAGTCACTGTTATGGTCCATGTATAAGCCACTATTTTATGATCCAGCCACTTGGGCAGAGAAGTGATCTGGCAGACACTGTACTCCCATCTGTGTGTTGAACTGTATCATCAGATTTCAGGTGGTCATTGAAATTATAACCAGTGATACTGCAAGGGCCCTTAACTTACCAGCCAGACAACATTCCAAAATGTGCAATACTATCTATCAGGACTGCTGGCCTTAGGTTGCTAGCTGGTCTCTGACGGAAGAGTTTGTGGGAAATTTCACCTGAGCAAATGCTGTTTAAAAATTAAATGATGCAGGAAAGGTCAAAGACGAAATCACAAACTGAATGAAAAAAATCACTCATGTCCCATTCCAGACCTGGAAGAGCTTGAACCCACAGGGAATTTTTTTGAGGATGATCTTCAACTTTTGTGGTGTATTAGCCACTTTTCTGTTGCTGTGATAGAAACACCGACCAAAGCAATTTATAGAAGGAAGAGTTTATTTGAGCTTATGGTTCCAGGGGAATTACAGTCCATCAAGGCAGGGAGGCATGGCAGCAGAGGTGGCTGGAGGAGAAGAAGCTAAGCTCTACATCTTCCAGCAGGCACAGGAAGCAAGAGAGCAACTGGAGATCTGGCAAGGCTTAAGAACTCTCTAAGCCCACCCCAGTGATGTGCTTCCTCCAGGATAGCCACACCTTCTAAGACCTCCCAAAACAGCACCATCATCTGGGGACAAAATGTCCAAATACTTGGAGCCTATGGGGGACATTTTCATTCAAACCATCACATGTGGGATTCAGAACCCTCATAAGCAGTGAACTCTTGGTTGTGGGAAGATGCTACTCCTTTCCTGTTTAGCTCCCCTAATTATACGGTCAGTCTCCAGCCATATTGAAGCCACGATTGGAAGGAAAATGGCTTGTGTGGTGATGCTATGGAGATACAGGCCCTGAACCAAGATGATGCCCTTTGCCCACTGAAAGGATTAAAAATGAAGGTGGGGAAGGTGACAGTGTAAGGTATGAGTAATTCTAATGTGGATATGTACTTCTCCACATCTTCTGTCAAGCTGTACAATCTCCCCGATCCTTCATATTCCAGATATTTTGTATCCTCTTAAAATATTTCTGTTTAGAGAATTAACTCTTAGTGGCTGCATTGGTACAAATAAACTGCTTCCTGTAAGCCTTGGGATTCCTTCTGTTCAGAATTCCTACTATACCACCCAGACAGGTGGGATGCAAACCTGGCTTCTGAGAGTCCTTGTTCCCAGGGGGTCCTTCCCCTCTTTGGGCAGTCCATGGGCACATCGGAGTTTTCCTTCAAGACAAGGTGCTGGTCCCACCACAAAAAGCAAGTTAGCCCTAAGCCGCTCTGTCCTGCCACGTCCTGCTTCCCTCCTTACCCCAGTTTGCCCTTTCCATTGACTACATTTTTTTTCCTACTCGTTTATTTCAGACAGGGTCTCGTGTAGTCCAGGCTGGTTTTCGACTCATATTTCACTGAGGGTAACCTGGAACTCCTGATTCTCCTGTCTCTACTTCAGTATTCCTAGAATTCCAGCCATGGGTCACCAGCCAGCTGATATCTACATAGATTTGGAAGGCAGCGTTCCAGAGACTCTTCTCCTTGATGGACAATAGCAAGGAGCTGTCCGATCAGCTGTCTTTCCTTGGACCCCCTTGCCAGGTTGTTTCCTGCTGAGAGCAAGAACTTCTGAGCAAGACGGTCAAGGTGATTATGAGAAGGGCCTTGGTGGTAAGTCTTGTTGGCACAGGAAGGCCAGGCATGTAGACAAAGGCCATATGCCAGTTAGAGATGGGGACTATGGCACAGGGACTTGCCTCTCACTCTCTCTGAGTCCTGAATTGGCAGGTCCTGTTTGTAGAGGGTACATGCTCCCTTTCCTTGACTTTCTCTGTCCTGTCCCAGAGCCTCTAGAAGTGAGTGGGCCTGGGGTGTGGACTTCACTCTTGTGTTGCCCTGGGCCTGCCTGGCTGTGGCCCACCTAGGAGTAGGCCAGATGGAACAAACAGAATGGTGTAACTGTCCTTCAAGCTTTCTTTGCCAAAAGGCCTCCAGGTTCCAGAAGTTCTGGGCCTGAAAGATTAGTGTTGAAATGTCAGAAGGATGGAGGGGGCAAGTGTCTACCAGGGCCCTCCCTTCCCTCTTCTCACTGTCCTCAACAGGACACACACAGGCGTAGGCATCTTATACCACCAGGGCCTCTGCTGTCTTGACATTTTCCCCTACCCAAGGCTTGAGTGGTTCTTGGGCCAAGGTGACTAAATTCTGTCCCCAAACACCCCCACCCCGACCCCCATGTGTTGGCTCCTGTTTGGGGCTCTGTTATCTCTACTGCTGCAGGAGATTGATGAGCTGGGTCATAGACTCAGAAGATCATTGAAGGGAGCAGCTTGCCCTTTCCCAAGGTCAGTTAAGGGGACACAACCCAAAGGCCATGTCTGGTGGGAAACACTGAGGATGGTGAAGGGCCCAGTGATCAGCAACAGTGAGGTGTCCTAATGCAAGGGCCTGAGAGGTGAGGGAAGATCCAGTTTCCAGCACACTGACCAGGCACCACCATGCTAATGTGTCCATCCAGATGGACACTGTGTCTTTAAGCCAGGTGTGCAGGTGTTGCCCAATGCAAGAAGGGGGATTAATGGATATACTCGTATCTTTTATCTGTAGGGGATAGCTTCCCAGATCCCAGTGGTGCCCACCATAGCCCATTCAATAACCAAGCCAGTGATTAGGTGACTATCAGACCAGTGTTAGTTTGGGAAAGACAGGATTCCTGTCCCAGGGATGTTCAGAGCAGGGATGTAGGGAACAGGTCTTTACCTTTATGCACTGGACAATTTGCTTGTGACACATGTAAGAGATGTGCCCAGCTTTGATGGAAACCTTTGCCAGGCCTCAGGCCAGGTTTGGGGAATATTTTACTGAGACAGAAGTTTGGTCAGCCAAGGGGGAATGAAGTCACGAGGTAGACGGGACTCAGTGCTAAGTCAGGCAGGGAAGCTGAAGCAGCAACGTTGGTGAGTGGGGATCAAACCTCTGAGGGTCCTGGGGAGGGTGGAGGTCAGCCAGGCCAACTTCAGGACAGCAAGGTCCTGGCCTGGAGGCCAGGGTGTTATTTTATTGAGAGTTTTTCCATCTGTGTTCATCTGAGTGACTGGTCTATCATTTTCAGTTTTTGCTGGCTCTTTGATTTGGTATTGGAAAAATACTGGCTTCATAGAAACAATTTGGGAATGTTCTGTAGATATCTACTAGGTTTATTTGATTTATGGTTGTCCTTTAACTCCAGGGATTCCCCATTTAGTTTTTGTCTGGTTGATCTGTCTATTGGTACCAGCAGGGTATTGAAGTTACCCACTATCACTGCGTTGAAGTTAGTGTGAGATTTTAGATCTAATAAAGTTTCTCTAATGAAATTGTGTGCTCCTGCATTTGTGGCATATACATTTAGGGCTGTGATATCTTATTGGTGGATTAGTCCTCTAATGAGCAGAGAGTGACCTTCCCTATCTCTTCTGACTAGTTTTAGTTTGAAATCTATTTTGTGGGATTCTAAAACAAGCTATACCTGCTTGTTTCTTAGTTGCATTTTCTTGGAATTTCTTTTTCCATTTTTTTACACTAAGGTAGTGTCAATCATTGTTGGTGAGGTATATTTTTTGGAGGCAGAAAATCATCAGATCCTGTTTTCTAATCCAATCAGTTAGTTTTTGTCTTTTTATTGGAGAGTTGAGACCAATAATATTGAAGGTTATTATCAACCAATGGTTATTGATTCCTACTATGTGGTGGTGTAGTGCTGTATTCTTCTGGGATAATTTAGTTATTCTTTGTGTGTCCTTGAGAGTAGTTAGTCTTTTCTTCTGACAGAATGATTCTCTGGGGAGCTAATTTTACAGACATAAATTCCTTAAATTTGTTTCTATCATGGAAAGTGTTTCTTTCTCCTTCAATTAAACTGATATTTTGCTGGGTATAGTATCTAGACTGGAATCTGTGATCTTTCATGACTGACTCTATGACATTGGTCCAAGCCTTTGGATTTACATAATCTCCACTGAAAAGTCAGCTGTTATTCTGATGGGCCTGCCTTTATGTGGCTTAATCTTTCTCTCTCAAACTTTTGATATCTTTTCTTTGTTCTGTATAGTTTTTTGACTTGTATCATGTGGGGAGTTTCTTTTCTGGTCCTACTTGGTGTTTTGTATGCCTCTTGTATCTTGATAGGTGTCTCTTTCACTAGGTTTGGGAAATTTTCTTCTATGACTTTTATTAAAAATATTTTCTGTGCCTTTGACCTGTGTTTTTTTTTTTTCTTTTTCTATGTCTATGATTCATAGGTTTGGTCTTTTCCACAGTGTCCCAGACAGAAGTCTTGCATATCCCATTCCTGGGATATTTTAGATTTGACATTTTATTTGATTTGAGTAATCAATTTCCCAAGTTTATCTTCATGATCTGATATTCTCTGTTCCATTTCCTCCACTTCCTTTTCATGTCTTTCTTCTAGGCTTTTGTTTGAGTTCCTGAGGTTTTGATTTCAAGTTTTATTTAAATTTGGTTTTTCTCCAGAGATTATATAACTTTGTTGAATTCTAATTTCATGTTTTGAGTTTAGTTATTTCATTCAACTGTTTGTGTTTTCATGGTCTCCATTCTGTTTGGTATTTGTGTCCTATTTGAGTTCCCTGAACATACTTTTTATTTTATTTATTATTTTTGTTTTATGTATATAAGTGTATTGCTTGCATGTAGGTAGTTGTACCCATGTCATGCAATGTCTGTGGAGGTTAGAAGATGTCAGATCCCTGGAACTGGAGTTATGGATGGTTGTTAGCTGTCATGTGGGTACTAGGATTTGAACCTGGGTCCTCTACAAGAGCTCTTAACCTCTGAGCCAGCTCTCCAGTGCTCTTAACCTCTGAGCCAGCTCTCCAGTGCTCTTAACCTCTGAGACAGCTCTCCAGCCCACCCCGCCCCCCGAAAATATTCATAATTGCTATTTTGAAATCATTACCTTGTGAATTCACTAGGTTGTCATCCTCAGGAAACACTGTAAAATGGTGTTGCTAATTTCTGTAAACATTATCTTGGTTATTCATGTTGCTTGTATATTTTGATGAGAGCTAGACATCTGGACTTGTATGGTGGTGTTTCTTGGTATGGGTAAGTGCTGAATATTTTTTTCCATCTTGTTTGTTGTTTCCACAATTTGACAGGTTATTATGGTATAGTTGAGTGGTGCTCGATGTTCACTTCTGTAGCTACTTTATGTTTATGTACAAATAGGGTGAGAAATAGTCTCAGTTCCATTAGAGATAGCTGAGATTCCAGGATTGACTCTACACAATCCTGAATCAGCAGGGTGGGCTGGAAGCCCATAGGTGAACAGGTTGGCTGACAGGCTAGACTTGGGGAGCTTGCAGGTCTGGGGTGCACAGAGCTGAGATGGCAGGGTGTGGGAGAACTCTCAGGAATGTGAACGCAGGGCTGCTGGTCTGGGGCAAGGATGGATCCCAGTGACTCAAGCTGGCCTGAGAGCTGCCATAGTAGATGGAAGTCTGAGGCTGGATTTGAACTTGCAAAACTTTTGCCTCAGCCTCCTAAGTATCTGGAATTACAGACCTGCACTACCATGCCTAACTTGGCAAGGGACTCTTCTATTTTATTTTATTATCACATTTATTTATTTAAGGGTGTTTGTGTGTGTGTGTGCACTTTGTACACATACTTAAGTGTGGAAATCAGAGGATAACTTGTAGAGTTGGTTCTCTCCTTATACCATGTGGTTTTGGGGATTGAACTCAGGTCCTCAGGATTGACACCAAGCTCTTTTACCTGCTGAGCCATCTTGAGGGCTTTAGGCTAGGAACTCTTATTCCATGCCAAGGGCCAGACCAATGCTCAGGGTCATGTATGGTGGCACATGCCTGTAATGCCAGCACTTGGGAAGTGGGGGCAGGAAAATAAGGAATTTAGGTTCATCCTTGGCTACATAGTGAGTTCAAGTCCAGCCAAATGAAATCGAAACAAGATATGGATAATGATACAGATTTGCTTTAAAGGGAAACATACAGCACTGCTGTATCTGATGTGTGTTTGGGCCTTGCTGAAGCTGTGTGCCCAGACAGCAGGTACTGGAGGGACAGGAGACCAAGATCTGGCTACAGGGTGCAGCTAGAGCAACCGTGTCAGGTCCTGGGGCCACATCTGCACACTTGGCCCGTACTTCTTGGTATTTGCCTGGAGACTTCCCCATGAGTCATACATGTCCAGACCTCTCATCCTGGCAAGCGTGTGATGGTGTCAGCCTGGGAGCCCCTCAGGGGCAGAGCTCAAATTTGCATTGTTTTTTTGATTGCTCAGGAGGCCAGGGAGCAGTCAGCAGATGGGGCCTACAGAGCACTGACTTCTCCCAACCTGGCTGGGGACATGTTCTTATTCTGAGGCTGATGCAAACAGATCCTCAGTCACAGTTCTTTGTAAGCTCTTAGTCTTCAATCCTGAGAGATCACATCTCTGTGCTTTTAAACTTGCCTGGGTAGAAGAACTGAACAGAGCAGAACCTGGACTCCCACTGTGATAGAATAAAGTATGAATGATGTCTGTGTGTACGTGCATTTCGGCACATCTCCTAATTAAGCACTTATTAGCTCCCCTCCCCTTGAATTCCAGCCATTTTTGTATCCTTTTGCAGTGTTTATGAATATCAATAAAAATGTGTACTGTCATCTGTAGGAGATAAACCAAAATAGTATACAAAGCTGAGATTTCCTTTGTTCCAGGACTTGTTTCAGAGATTATCTCTCAGGTACTGTGCCGGTACAATAAACTGCTCCCTATAAGCCTTGGGATCCAATTTCCCCTAAAGAGTGCCTACTACATTTTCAGGGGGCTCTGTCCAGAGATCAGAGGTGGTGAATCACATCTCCCTTGTCCCTGAACTAAATTTCCCTGGAGCATAGGGAGCATTAACTCAGGTGGGTGCCCACAACCTACTTGATCTGTAGGAAACTCAAAGACCCAGAGTGCTTGGGGTGTGGACTTGAGGAGCACAAGGAACCTTTTGAGCACAGAAATCACCTCAGGGAAAATACCCATCAGGATTGGTTAAAACCCAGGTTCAGTTTGGTACTTTGATTTGGTAATATAGCTTTTCTCACTCCAGAGAATGGAAGGAAGGCTTGATCACCCTTTAAAGTCCTGGAACAGTTTAAGTACTCTCACAGAAAAGAGAGAGAAATGCAGTTCCACAGTGACTTCTGGAAACTGGGCACTGGGTGGAGGACTGGAGACTCTCTCTCTCTCTCTCTACTCTCACAGAAAAGAGAGAGAAATGCAGTTCCACAGTGACTTCTGGAAACTGGGCACTGGGTGGAGGACTGGAGACTCTCTCTCTCTCTCTCTCTCTCTCTCTCTCTCTCTCTCTCTCTCTGTGTCGAGGTAGACGGTGGGAGAGTTCCAACTCTACCAAGGGATGAAGTGAATACTGAGGGATCCCAATCCACTGGTCCACGGAGAACCTCACATGGCTTAGGGCAGCTTTCTTCACAAAGATGCTGACAGTGCATTGTACAGTCTCACCAGTGCTAAGAGCTTCTGTATCTCTGAGATGAGAGTGGTCAGAGGTGAGCGATGCAAAGTTCACCCTTTTCCCTTCTTGTGTGTTCTTGTCTGCTAGGGGGAGGAAACAGGTGGCAGAGTGAAATGTACTCCTCTGGAAAGTATGGTGAAGAATTTTAAGAAAGGATATTCAGGAAATTATGTTAAACTGGTTCCTAGAAAACTGCAGACATTCTACAAACTAGACTGGCTATGACTGGGATAGGATGACTTTCTGAGGGATCAGTGGACAAAGAGATAGTTGAAAAAGTGCTCAGGATTCTTGTGGTAGACCCAGGGCACCTTGACCAATTTCTCCATTTAGTTTCTGGCAGGATATAGTCTATTCTTGACCAAATGGTCACAGGCTTGTCCAGAGGAAAGTTATACAATCATGCTGACTAGGATAGCAGCA